ATCCAATGCTTGAACCTGCTTCTTTCCAAACCCACAGGATGTTCCTTCTGCAGGGCCTGAAGTCGGAATTGAGTGCATAAGCAACTGCCTTGAATTAAAATACCTCATGATCCTGGCTTTTCCTCTGAGGCAGAAACATGTTTGATTGAACCATATTCTACGGCGACCAACCGCAAGTATTTTTAGGCTCTGAACATGGCTCCAAGGCAGACTTCGTCTGAAGTTTAAAACACAACCTAAAACGTTACCAGGAACCATACCTCTGGCAAGAGAACACATGCGGTACTTAGACCTTGAATTCGACTGTTTCCCGTAGCAATAAGATTGTCTAGAAACTCCTAAGCACTCGCTGCTTAACCTTAGATTCTAAACAATAACCAACACAAGGAGCCTGAGTCTTTGTGAATACTCTGGGTATTTGCACGGCATAGAGTCCGAAGGGCAGAGCCACAAACTGAAAAAGGCAATCTTCTACTATAAACTGAAGGAAATTTTATTAGGTGAGGCGGAAATATTCGGCACATGCAATACACACTCCAATGATGACAATAGATACAAGAAAGGCTCCCACTCTGCAGAGCAAGCTGCCCACTGAGTGGACTTATTCCATCCACAAAAGAACGATTGTTCAAAAGCGATTAATGTCTTAAGATCTAGATAGGGCCGTACACTGCCATTTGGTTTTGGAACCATGAACAGGTTTGAGTAGAAGCCTCCTGAACCTTTCCTCTTGCCAGGTTCGTTAAACTCCATAATCACTCCTTGAGATAACACTGATGAGTGCTTGAAACAAAAAATCATTCTTGACCTGATTTGTTGGTAATGTTGGATTTAAAAAAAAGTGGGGAGGAGGCATGACCTGAAACTCCAACTTGTACCCTTATGGAGCTGTGGCAATGACCCCATTTGGTTCTGGATCAACTCTCTCCAAGCATGTGTGAAAATAACAGAAATCCCCCCCCCATCCCCCCCCCCCACCCACCCACACGAGTGGGGCGTCCTTTCATAGGGAGGATTTAGCACACTGTCCTGTAGAGGGCTTCTGACCCACGGGTTCTTTCTGCCCTTGGCCCAGCAGCTTGCCCATAGTACTAGACACTTGTGGGTGCCGAAACCTGGAAGGTGAAGCACTATATGCTGAATCTCCTGATCCCTTCTGGCAGAAGTGCACCCTTCCAGTTAGCAATTTTTTATGCAAGACAACTCAGCCCAACCAGCTCTTCAACAATAGAATTCTGTGCAGTTATACAGACAACAGACATCATAAAACCTGCTGTATTGAATCCTTCAGGTATCCATGCAAAACATAAGGCCTGGGATAACTCTGCCATGTCCTCAGCAATTCTATACCCTGCCCCTAAGAATCCTAGTCAATTATTTAACCTGGTCCTTCAGGGACTGACAAACTCCGATTGCCACCACAGCTGGCAGTACATCAGACCCCGGAAAGAGCAACAGGAAGCCTTTAGCAAAGGTTCCAACTTTTTATCATCTGGATCCGTAAAGACTTGAGCATTGTCCACAGACAATTCAAGTTTTTGCACAGGGAAGAAACAGCAGCATCCACATCCAGCATGCTCCCATTCTTAGCAACTCTCCCCATGGGACACAAGAAGATAAATCTCTTAGGTGGAACAAGAAAAACCCTATCCAGGTGCTCGTAGTCTGCATAAATCACCTGTTCCAATAGTAAGTGCAGAGGAAAAATCCAGAGATGTTCTGTTGTGACTTTACTTAGTGGGACAGGGGGGGAGGGAGGGGGGACCCTCCAGAGGTTTCTAATGGAGGCAACCTGAACCAAGAGTGGACCTTTCCTGTAAAGAGACTGAACCATAACTTCTGGACTGAGATGTACACTGCCAGGCCCTCCTCAGGAACTGATCCATCAGAACTGGAGTCTCCGCTTGGCCTTACCTCCAACTCATCAACGCACTTCATCGGCCTCCACAACCCATTCTTGCTCCAGCACAAAGCCCAGGGGAGGGAGATCGTTCCCGTTTCCTACTTTCCCTGAGTATACAAAATCAATCATGCCAACGCGAACTTATTCTCTAACCAAACCAAAGCAGAAGCCAAAATCGTCTTTTAGTAACAATGCTGAGGTGATGCACCAGAATTTGCCACAAATAGCCAGAGAACCACAGTGCTCCAGATTTGCCGGTGCCTTCTGATTCTCTCAGGGAAACTACTACAGAGGCAACAATTACAAGGTTCCCCAGACTTGAAGGCAGAGCACTTGCTCCCCTTCCTGCTGCGGATTTCCCCCCACTCCCTTTCTGAAGACATCACACCAAGCTTAGAGGCAGAATTCCAACTGCTAAGGCTTGTGAAAACCACAATGCTCTCCTAAATAGAGTACCATCATCCTGCTAGGCTGTGATCCAGTAAAAGCAGCTATCACAGCCTAATTGCCAGAAGCACATTAGACAAGCCCCCCGCCCACCAATATCATTCACTTACATGTCCCAACAATAGCCTCACTATAAGCCCCCTCCTGCAGCTGATCGGAATCCCCGTGTATACACACATCCTGCTTCCTGCCACTACTGTGCCGTGCGTGTGGCACTCGTGTGGCCTGCCAGAAATCTCTTACTGCCAGAGAGGGTGACAAGAGCGGCAACACAAATGAGCAGGCAGGGCTGCCATGACGAAAAGGCAGACCTTACAGAAAAAGGTGCTGCCGCTGTTGCTCTTTCTCAATCTTGACATTCCAGGAAGACCCATCCGCCAAACCTCCTGCCCAATGTTGGCCAGAATGTGAATCGTTTGCTGGAAACAGCAGCTTCTGGTTCATCTTGTAAAATACCTGCCCCCTCTCACAAGTAAAACAATATATATATTGTGACAGTGTGGCGATCTTGTCATGATATAAAAAGGATATTTCACCCAGGATTCACAACAAGTCCAGGTTGAGGGGCTCCTGGAGTATTTGTTTAAACAGAGGAAGACTGCTTTCACTTTCCTCATTCTTGTTTGTAAAGTACATTTTGGACCTGTAGCCTTGATATTTCAAAGTTGATTTGGAAGGGATGAAATCCTCCAATCCTGGGACCAAGATTTAAGAAAGGCAGAGACTGATTGTCAGGTGGGTGTGGGTCCCTCTGGAGTCAGACCAGGTTCTGGGCTCCACCCCTCGCCGCGGAGTTATGTGGGTGCAAGGGAACAGCCACAAAAGTGCATGGTGCACAGTAAGTCTAAGAGCAACTGATCCACAGCCTGTGGGCTGGAGAACAAGATGGCTGGGAAGAGGACGCTAACCCAGGTTCAGTGTGTGATAGGTCAGAGGAACGTAGCATGAAGCCTAAGCAGTGGTGCTGCTACAGAAGAGCAAGGAGGCTGAATCTTTGTTTTCATGTGCATTTGATGGTGGAAACCGCTGCATGGGAAACTTATGTTGTAATGGAACTTTTCTTTTAAATAAAATTGGACAAAACATAGCCATTAAAAGAAGGGAGTGACTGTGCTTCAAAAGCTCTAACCCTTGGTTCTAGTTCCCCCCACTATATATTATATTATATAGAAGAGGGAGCCAAACTCACTCAACCTCGCCGTAGGATTTCTTGTTCATAAAACAATCTTCACCATCATGTCGGGCTTTGTCATAAAAACACTCAAAGACTCGGCCCCTATCTCTCCCTGGTGCCTCTGCCTGGGCCTGTATATGAACCCTGACGTAATGGCGCCTTGGTCAATAACTAACTGCACAGGGGTTCCGTTATGAAGAACCCAGTGCCCATAGGTCATTCAATGCAGCAATCCTGCTTCTCCATCTCACCCAGGGCCTGGGTAACCATCCATTTTAGCATCCCCATTTGAATGAATCCGATTATGCCGTCCCTCATCCATTTCCTAAAACCATTTTGAGACTGATAGTACTCTCATCGAGAGTTTGAACTGTCCGACCATCACCTTCAAGACAATGGTGGAAAACGCTGGACTTTCCTTGTAGAGGGGGTTATACTTGAGAGGACTTCTTGCTGTTTTTGGTCGACCACGCCACCTATAGGTGGTGCATAAGCCAGACAGTAATGAATTTATAGCCTGCTCTGTGTCCCGTGATGTAAGATAAAGAACTCGAATTCATTTCCAACAGCTACTGGCTTTGTGCTTTCTTGTAATTATGTATTAGTTTGGCTGCTGTTGATGGAATATCTAGGCACTGTAAAAGTCAGTCTAGTGATCTCGGTTTCCGAGCTGAGCCCCACATCACCGTGGTCTTGCATGGATTCACCAACGAACATATATGACAGTATTAGAAATACACTATGGAGATAGTAAATCCCCCTGACCGGGACACCAAGAAAATGGTGCGTTTTATTGAAATATAAAAATGTATATCAAGAATGAGAAATGGCAATGATATAAAGTGGACTAGTATTTATCTCTACTTTTGTCGAACTGTTTCCTCAGTGTGTAATTCTAGTGCCATGGGAGACTTCGGGGGCGTATTTATGCAGCAAAAAATGATCAATGTACACTCCTATTATTCACCCCACTCATAGAAATTCATCTGCCTAGATTGGCCTGCACATTCACCCAACTGTAAAAAATCTCACACCAACATTCACCCAGGTCTTATATCCAGAATAGATTGAAGTTTCATTTGTTGTTCATTGTAATCAATTTATTCAGAGATTTCTTCTGAACACAGCCCAGGCCCTCCCCATCTCTCTCCATGAAGGTCTTAGTCTCACATAACCTGCAGCCTTGAAAACAAAGTCTGCACCTGGATTGGACCTTTCTTTTAATAAATCGCCCTCCTTCATCTAGAAAGTGTGAGGTAAAGGCAGGCAGCCAGCCACAATATTCAAGGATTGGTACTGGAGAGCTGCCAGCAAAAATTTTTTCAGTAAGCATTGAAGAAACAAATTGTACATGTTGGGAAAGGCAATTGGTTATCCCACCCACCCATCTATCTACGTGTGGCAGATACAAGAACATTCCAAACAGTCCCAAAAGTGGTCCAAATGAGTCTGCTGCTGAGGCTCCATGCACATCCCCTAGCCATAGAGACGGGCAAAGGCATGCTTGGCCGTACGGTTTTCCATCTATGCCTCACGGAAAGTGCCCTTATTGAGTTGCCGCAAACACAAAAAGTACAGTCTGAGGTGCTGGGATGGAACTTTCTTCTTCCCAATTTGCGGTTCCACTACAGTCGACCTGTAATTGGCTGATCCACATCCGGCACACAGTGATCCACGAGGAACGAGTGGTAATGAGTCTCACACAGAAGGTAGGCCATTCATTTTCTCGAAGAAACTTCCATTGAGGAATGGGGTGTGACAAACTCCTATAAAGAAAACCAGAAATGACATGAACACTGAATCTTTACACTGGTGGACATATTGCACTGCATGTCCCTACAGTTTTAAACCAATTCTAGAAGGAACATTTGTTCCATCATAACACTGCCAGCAATGAAACTTCAATGGACTTCTCAGATAAACCCCAAATGGTCCAGTAATGATGAAGAAGTGGCATAAGAAGGAGAAGCAGAATTCTGCCAGGGCTGCCTGGGAAGACTAAGGTCACATCTTAGACAGCATAAGAAAGATCCAAGAGAGACCTAAGCTGCTGGAATGTGTTTTCCTTCTGGGATTCCGGCTTTTTGGTCTCACAGGGCAAGGCAGAAGAAGCTCTCCATTCTAACCATCTGTTCTAAGGAGGATACGAGGAGATCTGACTACTGTCCTCCACATAGGAGATCCAGAGGCTGGCAGACAGTTTTTCCAATACTTGTCCCGTCTGATCAAATGCCAAATAGATAGACTGTGCTGCATGATCAGAAAGGGCTGTCAGCTATTTTACAAAGGAAAATACCAGACAACAGCTTTACAGGGGTAACTGCTGGACAAAGTAAAACTGGCCAGAAGAATTGCTGTTTCCTTTAATGGTTGACACCAGACAGGCAGATGACAAAGGCCACAAACAATACAGCTTCCTACATTAATCTTCTTCTATATTTGGTCAGATACTGGCACACAAGGTTCTCAAGTCTCTGGTTTTTTGGAAGGGTCTCTACGCCTGCCATAGATAATTTACTTAGGTCCACAATCCATGACCAGTTAGGGGATGAAGAAAGGTACCTACTAAAATATGTTATGCCCCATTCCCACCACTCTTTCAACTTATGCCAGAATCTTAAAAGGGGTTAGGATGACAACAACCCCACCCAAAGAAGGTCAGAACAATAGTTGAGCTTCTATACTAGGTTTCCAGTTTCTGGGCACCCGATCCACCAGCAGTAAAATCAGAGTGGTGAGACTGTAAATGACCCGACAAATACCCAATGTGGTATCGTTCTATCTGGAATCTTCTACTTTCATTGATTGGATAGGAATAGATTGGGATATGTTTCAGGATACTCACATGACACACAAAAACACTGCGGATGCCATAATCCATTGACGCGCTGAAAATGTTAACTTTCTTTCACTGGGTTCAGAGCATCCAGCGCAAACCAGCTCCAAAACAGGTGGAAATAATCATCTGAGAACTGTAAGGGTCCCCTTCCTTCTCATGGAACCCTGTATGTGGAAAGAGCGGGTCAATCAATGAGACATTCCATTATACAAAAGAAACCAATAACCCAGTGGGGGGAGGGATACTGAGGGTCATCCTGTGGAGTCAAAGTGATTTGTAGTCCTCACATCACCACAGGAGTCATTACAAATTTGTCCCTAAGTCCCATATTTCTGCTGTCTGCCTGTCTCCTTCTCCTTGATGAAAAGAATGATATGTGTTGTAAACCCATCAATTCAAGTTGTGACGTCATCCGAGGCCCCGCTCCGACACTCTACGAAAGTGTCTATGGTAATCGTCAGTAGAGGCGGCATTGCACAGCGACCGCTGATTTCTCTCAGTTGACACGCTGCTTACGTTTGGTGCGATTGGCACCTGCTACAAGTGAGTGCAAACTTTATATGTTGAGAATACAAATAAAAGGTTTTTAAAGGATAAAGAACTATGTTACGTCTGTTTGCACGAGGTGGAGTGTGGTTGGCGGGAAGGAGACTAGCGTAAGCTATGGTAGATTGTTCCAAAGCCCTCATAGGACATCCAAAAATGGTCCCCATTAAGGGACAAAAGGCATATTTGACTGAACATTAAATTGTGACGTCATGTACTTGGGGGGAGCAGACATCTGGTGGTGTTTTTTCAGCACAAAGTTGGATTAAGCACTAAAGGTGCTACAGCATAAGATTTTCATTCACTGAAGATAAATGACTCTTCCAAGAATATTTTTTTAAATATTTTGATATATTATATACTCTTTAGGTGTGGTAGTTTTGTGGTTTTTTAATGGCACTGGTATTGATGTTATATTATGTATACTAACGCTGCACTTATTGACTGTTTTACTGTTGTTATATGTATAATTGTATGAGATATGCATAGGTGCATAGCTGCTGGTGAAGGAGAGAGTATTGTTCAACAGGCCATGATAAAGGGTTTCACATTATATTGATTTTGTTAATTGCACTAGTAAAGTCTCTGTACATTTATATTGTTAATCTTGCAGCTCGAAAGGCTTCACTGTTGTTTGTATTATATGCAGGTCCTTGTCCTGGGCTGTGTCCTGCTCTGCCTGTGCCTCCTGGGCTGTGTCCTGGGCTGTGTCCTGCTCTGCCTGTGTCCTGGGCTGTGTCCTGGGCTGTGTCCTGCTCTGCCTGTGTCCTGGGCTGTGTCCAGCTCTGCCTGTGTCCTGGGATGTGTCCCAGCTCTGCGCCTGTGTCCTGGGATGTGTCCTGGGCTGTGGTCCGATGCTCTGCGTTCCTGTGTCCTGGGCTGTGTCCTGCTCTGCCTGTGTCCTGGGCTGTGTCCCTGCTCTGCCTGTGTCCCCTGGGCGTGTCCTGCTCTGCCTGTGTCCTGGGCTGTGTCCTGGGCTGTGTCCTGCTCTGCTTGTGTCCTGGGCTGTGTCCTGGGCATTGTCCAGCTCTGCCTGTGTCCTGGGCTGTGTCCAGCTCTGCCTGTGTCCTGCTCTGCCTGTGTCCTGGGTCTGTGTCCTGCTCTGCCTGTTGTCCTGGGCTGTGTCCTGCTCTGCCTGTGTCCTAAGGCTGTGTCCTGCTCTGCCTGTGTCCTAGGGCTGGTGTCCTGGGCTGTATTCCTGGGCTGTGTCCTGCTCTGCCTGTGTCCTGGGCTGTGTCCAGCTCTGCCTGTGTCCTGAGGATGCTGTGGTCCTGCTCTGCTTGTGTCCTGGGCTGTGTCCCTGAGCTGTGTCCTGCTCTGCTTGTGTCCTGGGCTGTGTCCTGGGCATTGTCCCTGCTCTGCCTGTGTCCTTTTTTTTTTTTTTTTTAATTTAAATATTTATTAAATATTTTCATGTTAATACAAAAACCCAAAAAAAAGGGAAGTAATTCTCATATAAATAGACATTTATAACATTTCTACCTTTCCCTTACTAAAAATTCTTTTCTTTCCCCCTCCCACTACCACCCCCCCCCCTCCACCCCCTCTTCCCCCCTCCTCCCCCTCTGCAGACTCTGGCCCATTCTATTCTTTTGAGGCTTATTAATTTTTTTTTTTTGTTAACAACCTAGTTCATATTTTTCTATATTTTCACTCTTTCAATCCTGCTCATTCCCCACTTTTCCCATCTCCCATGGAATAAACTCCCATCTTATCTTCTTGCATATGGTATGATCTTTCCATTCTACCTATCTGATTTACTCTATTAATCCAGTCTATCTCCTTCGGTACCTCAGCTTTCCACCAAAACTTGGGTATCAACCCTTTCGCCGCATTCAAGAAGTAACCAAATACCTGAATCTTTATATTTATTTACAGAAAGATGTCTCCACATTGTGTAAGGAGGCACGGCTCGATGGGTCTAAATCCTATGTCAATTTCCAGTTATTTCAATTAATTTAACTATTATCAGTTCCAAAAAGGCCTGGATTACTTCGGACATTCCCACCATAAGAGTGAAACACCGTGCCTATCTCTCCACATCCACTTCTCTCCAACACTTATTTGAGTTTTCCCCCATTTATCTTGTGCTCTACACTCGGTGTAATATGCCATCGTGTCATCACACTTATAATTAACCTCAACCTCTCTCATACTAACATTATCGTGTATCAATCTAAACATCTTTCTCTGTCTATCTTCATCAAACCCAACTCCCATATCCCTTTCCCATTTTGTCATAAAAAATTAAATTTGGTGTTAAATAATTGTCTAATTCTGTGAGTATTCTATACACCTTTGAGATACCGTGCTTACCATCCCTTCTTGTCTCTAACAACCTTTCAAACATATTCCACTCCTGTTTTATTTCTTAGGGGTTTCGGTAAATTTCCAATGAAACTTTTCAATTGATGGTGTTTCCACTCATCTATTCTAATAAAAATATCACCCTTCTTCTCTATTATCTTCTTTAAAGTGATCTCAATTCTCCCTCCACCAAAAACATCTCTCAATTGGGTATCCTCCTTTCTAAACCATCTCCCTGATATCTTATTCTGACCCGGGGGGAAGTACTCAGTATTTGTGAGAGGCATTAATATATAGAATCTAAATTCCCCATTTCATGTTCTTATGTAAATTATCCCATACCCTAAAGACATTTAAAGTGTATATACTCGTGCTTTCTTTAATTCCCCTAAACTGTGGTGGAACCCATATCATCTGACTCAATCTTTTACCACTAAAGATCATTTTCAATTGTTACCCAACTTTTCCCCTTATGATTAAATGTCCAGTCATATATTCTTGCTAAAACCACTGCCTTATAGTATCTCTTGACATCTGGTAGGCCCAATCCCCCTTTCTCTTTAGTCCTGCTCAATGTTTCATATGCTATATTTCTAGTTTTTTATTCTTCCAAATATATCTTGTTAACATTTTTTTTTTCATTATCTTAAAGAAGGCTTCTGGAATTTTAATTGGTACCATTTGAAATCTATACAGTATTTTAGGCATTATTACCATTTTGACTAGGTTTATACGTCCTATCCAGGATGGATTTCCTCCTTCTAGTCTTTTTAAATCTTCCCTGATCTCATTTATCAAGGAGATATAGTTTAATCTATACAAAGCTTAGATGAGGCAGTGAGTTTTATTCCTAGGTATTTTTATCTCTTTTTCTCTCCATATAAAAGGGGGAATTCTTTTTGTAGTTTTTTTTCTTTTTCATTCTTTGGTATATTAATATTCAGGATCTCTGTTTTCGTTGGATTAATTTTTAAATTTGATAATTCACCATACTCCTTCAACAACTTCATTATATTTGGAGAGAGTTATTTCGGGGATTCCCCACATAGATCAATAGGTCGTCCGCAAAGGCCGCTACTCTATGTTCTATGGATTCTATCTGGATTCCCTTTTACCGATCCACTATTTCTTATTATTGACAACAGGGGTTCGAGTGACAATACATATAGCAGAGGAGACAGTGGACAACCCTGTCTTGTACCATTAGACATTCCAATGGGAATCTGATCTCTCCCCATTTACCGTGATAATTGCAGTAGGCTCCCTATATAGTTTACTTATCCACTCTCGCATTCTATCTCCTATCCCCAGCACTTTTAAGTTGTCCATCATAAAGCCCCAGTCCACTCTGTCAAATGCCTTTTCTGCATCAATTGACAAGAGCACCACCGGAACTTTCCCTTTTCTACTTTTCTGAATAAGCATCAGGTTCTCAAGCCGTTGTCTCTACCTTCACTCTCCCCGGTACAAAACCCACCTGGTCTCCATGGATCCATTCAGGCATCAGATTCCCTCAACCTGTTTGCTAACACCTTTGCATACAGTTTTAGTATCAGTGTCAATAATGAGATAGGTCTGTAGCTAGAGCACTGAGATGGATCTTTTCCCTCCTTGTGAATAAGTACTACATGGGCCTGTAGGGATTCTCTCCTCACTTCCATCCCACCTCCCAGAGCATTCATATATTTCTCCAACTTGGGTAGCAGTACTTCACTAAATTTCTTATAGTACTTAACTGTATAGCCATCCGGGCCTGGGCTTTTTTTCCTCCCCTGTGCTTCTTTAATGCTATTTTAATTTCTTCCTGGGAGATTTCTGCATCCAGGGATTTCAACTGTGCTTCACTTAGTTTTGGTAATCCCGGCATTTTTTAAGTATGTCATCTTTTTTTCATTAATTCCTTCTTGGGCTTCTGCCTGTGTCCTGAGCTGTGTCCTGCTCTGCTTGTGTCCTGGGATGTGTCCTGGGCTGTGTCCTGCTCTGCCTGTGTCCTGAGCTGTGTCCTGCTCTGCTTGTGTCCTGGGCTGTGTCCTGGGCATTGTCCTGCTCTGCTTGTGTCCTGGGCTGTGTCCTGCTCTGCCTGTGTCCTGGGCTGTGTCCCTGGGCTGTGTCCTGCTCTGCCTGTGTCCTGGGCTGTGTCCTGCTCTGCTTGTGTCCTGGGCTGTGTCCTGCTCTGCTAGTGTCCTGGGCTGTGTCCTGCTCTGCCTGTGTCCTGGGCTGTGTCCAGCTCTGCCTGTGTCCTGGGATGTGTCCTGGGCTGTGTCCTGCTCTGCTTGTGTCCTGGGCTGTGTCCTGCTCCTGCCTGTGTCCTGGGCTGTGTCCTACTCTGCCTGTGTCCTGGCTGTGTCCTACTCTCTGCCTGTGTCCTGGGCTGTGTCCTGCTCTGCTTGTGTCCTGGGCTG